GCAAGGGAGTGGCGGTGCTGAGCACTCTTGCCCATCTTGCAGACAAGTACACAGCCCCGCGCACACGCACGGGCAGGTGCACTGCATCTGGCACGGGCGGTGTTTCCTGAGGGGACCCAGCTTGGAGAGACTGGAGCTTCATGGCCAAGAGTTCTTCAGGAGGCAAGCAGAGCAGAGCAAGGGGCCCTGTGCAGTTGCTGGTGGAGGAGCAGGTCAGTACCGTCGCTCACACCGCTCTGCTAGGTGGCCGCTGCGCCAGGTATCTGTGTGAGTGCCAGTCGCACGCCTGCACCCTTCATTCCTAGCTGAGCAAACACAGCCTGGATGCGGCGCCTCCAGGTGGCTGGAGCAGCCTGGTGCTGGGACAGAGCTGGTTAAGTCCAGGTTGGGGCAAAGAGTTTGTGTTTTCAGTCCTGGCTGAAAATAAGGCTCAGATGTGGTGGTGATGAGCACACCAGGGAAGGATAGGTTTGTTCTGGGTCCTTTGAATTCAGGAACTGATGGGTAATGGACAGGAGAAATCACAGCAGACACATTGAATTTAGGAAAGTGGATTTGGTCCCAGGGTGCTGCTGCCTGACAGCCCTGGAGACTGACAGTATCTGCAACAGATACTCCAGACGGTCACCCTGCCTCCTGTTTTGTCCCTGGGGAGGGGCGTGTAGCCGGCTGGCACACTGCCTGCAGAGGCTGGCATGGCTGTGCCAGGTTCGCAAAGCAAGCAGAGACCTCAGAGAGTTGGCACAGGTGAAGACCCCCAGTCAGCACAGGCTGAGACCCCTGAGAAATTGCTTCTGTATTTATTAGGACCAAGCTTGTCCAGGGAGGTGAGGCTGAGGGCTTCAGCAGCAGCAATGGGGGGGGTCTCCAGGGGAGATCCAGAGTAGTAAGCAGCAGGATGGGGAATGCAACAGGAGGTTTTTGGGGTGCTGGCCAAAATGAAAATTCCATTTCAGATCAAACAGGAGGTTGATAGCTTTGCTTGTAGAGGGCTGGGTTTGGTCACTAAGTTGTCTAGGTAAACATAAAAGCAAAAAGAGTTTTAACACCACAAAGGAAACCAGTTTTGTTCAGAAAATGAAACATAGCATTCTGTTGATTTTTTTTTTTTAAAAAGAGTGTTATTTTCCCCTGGGTAGAAGAATGTGGCTCTAACTGGTGAACAGGTGTTGCTAAAACCAACAATATTCTGAATGAAGCAAAAACTTTGTCTGAAAACACCTGCCCTGTTTGAGTGTTGATCACTTTGACAACGTGGACCCAAAATAGCAACATCTCTCATGTAAAAATGTGTCTGACTCCATTGCAGAAACTCATCTCTGTGCTCTGAGCTCAGGCAGGACAAAACTTACACCTGGATCTGAATTCTCCCTCCAGCTCCTGAACCTTCAGAGCATCCCTAGGTCGACTGGGGGAGTTTTCTAAATACGGAGCTCTCCAGGGCTGGAGTGCGACAGGAGCAGACAGTGTCCTTGCCACAGGGAGAGCAGCCCTGGCCTGTCCCAGAAGCTCACCTTCGTGCAGGTCCCCGCAGCTGTGCAGCTTTGTGTGGGAAACATCAGCTTGTCTTCAGCACGCCAGGAGAAAGCTGCAGCGCTTCGCACCCATTTAACGTCCTTGGCTCAGGAGGGTGGGTGAGCTGCAGCAAGGAGGATGAGGAGGATGGTCCCTTTTCTAGGCAAGCCCAATATTTCAACATCTGGTTTCTTCTGATGAGAACTAGCAATCCCCGTGCTTTCATCCTTCTCCTGGGCAGATAGGCTGGTGCCTGGCTAGGACTGCACAGGCCTGTTGCTTAGTGCGATTCTCCCTGCAAAGCCTTTTGGTTTGACTTCACTTTTTTTAGAAGTTTCCCAAGCCAGACCCATGAACATGGACTTCATCCTGCCACAGCCTGTCCCAAAGCTAGCTACTCCTCATGCTAAAGTACGAGGGGTATTGCAGTGGTGGCAGGCAGCCCCCATCATGGCATGGGAATCCGGTGAGAATATTCACTGGAGTAATTACTCACTATTGTGGACAATCTCAGTGCCTTGTCACGTGTTGGGATGCAGCTTGGCTGTCTGAGAGAGCCAGCAATGCTCCTGGAGCACACCACAGCAAACAAGTCACTGCTGTGATGGCTCTGGCACTGGCTGGTTGTTGAAGTAAACAGACAAACAAAAGTATTAAAAAAACTGAATTAAAAAAAAAGTCTTTAAAATACTTCCATGTCTGTGACTTCTCTCCCTAGACCTTTTGGGTTTTATTTTGCAGGTGCTGTGTTGCTTCTCCCCAGAGATGCTCTGCACATATCTGTCACCTATAGTGCAGTGAGACCACACAGCTGGTCCTGAATCCTGGTCCTGGAGACTGGGGAGGGTCAGAACATGTCAACGAAGAAGGAATGAGACTCCATCCTGGGAAGTGCAGGGGATCCCACACAGCAGCCAAATCTGTCTCTCCTGATGTTCAAATCTGGGGTTCAGACAGTTGTGATCTGAGAGATAAGATGAGCCCTGCTCGCCCCACAGGAGCCCACAGTGTCTGTGCTCGCAGGGAACTCATCTGCAGCTTGCCTGGCTGTAGTTCTACTCTGCTGAGGTTGGTGTGGAGCTGGAGATGCAGCCCACTGCCCTTGCTGTGAAATGGGGAAAGTGTCAGACCTGCTAGGCGGGAGAGTGGTCCAGGACCAGCGCCAGCTGGAGGATGCTGGACCAGCCTCAGTGGGGCATCCCCTCAGGTGAGGCCGGTGCTTGCAGTGCTGTGGGGTTGTTCAGCCTGGAGAAAAGGAGGCTGAAGGGAGACCTTATTGCTCTCTACTTGGAAGGAGGTTTTAGTGAGTTGGGATCGGTCTCTTCTCCCAGGCAACAAGCAAAAGGACAAGAGGGAATGGCCTCAAGTTGTGCCAGGGGAGATTTAGATTCAACATTAGGAAAAATTTATTCACTGAAAACGTTACCAAGCATGGAGCAGGCTGCCCACGGAAAGGGTGGAGTCACTGTCCCTGGAGGTGTTTCCGAGAGGTACAGATGTGGCACTTAGGGAAATGGTTTAGTGGTGGACTTGGCAGTGTTGGGCTTGCAGCTGGACTTGATGATTTTAAAGGTCTTTTTGAACCTTCTTTGGCTCAGTTTTTAGTAACAGAAACACTTTTACTGAGGAGAGCCAGCCCCTCAAGCCAAGAGACAGGGGCCAGGAGCAAAATGTCCCCCCCACAATCCAGGAGGAGATGGTCAGTGACCTGCTGCTCAACATCAATGTGCACAGATCTATGGGACTGAGTGGGATTCATCCTAGAGTGCTGAGAGAATTGGCAAAATTAACCTCATCTAAAATGTGTTGACTTCAGGGATGAAGGCACTGTCCATCATTTACCAGCAGTCCTGGCTGACTGGGGATGTCCCAGCTGATTGGAAGTCAGCCAATATAACACCCATCTATAAGAAGGGACAGAGGAAGGATCCAGGAAATTACAGGCCTGTTAGTTTGACTTCAGTGCCAGGGAGGCTGATGGAGCAGATCATCCCGAGTTCCATTATGCAGCACATGCAGGACAAGCAGGTGATCACGCCCAGTCAGCACAGGTTTGTGAAGGGCAGGTCCTGTTTAACAAACCTGATCTCCTTCTCTGACAGGGTGACACACTTGTTGGATGAAGGGAAGCCTGCGGTTGCTGTCTACCTTGGCTTTAGTAAGGCATTTGACACTGTTGCCCACAGCATTCTCCTAAAGAAATTGACAGTCCTTGGCTTGGATGGGCATACGCTTTGCTGGGTAAAAAAACTAGTTAGATGGCCGAGTCCAAAGAGTCGTGGTCAATGGAGTTAAATCCAGTTGGTGGCCGGTCACGAGTGGTGTCCCCCAGGGCTCAGTACTGGGCCTGGTCCTGTTTAACATTTTCATCAGTGATTTGGATGAGGGAATAGAGTGCACCCTTAGTAAATTTGCAGATGACACCAAGTTGGGTGGAAGTGTCGATCTGCCTGAGAGTACTGAGGCTCTACAGAGGGATCCAGATAGGCTGGATCGCTGGGCCAAGGCCAGTCACAGGAGTTTCAACAAGGCCAAATGCCGGGTCCTGCACTTCAGCCACAACAACCCCCGGCAGCGCTACAGGCTCAGGGAGGAGTGGCTGGAGAGCTGCCAGGCAGAGAGGGGCCTGGGGGTGTTGGTGGACACCAGCTGAACAGGAGCCAGCAGTGTGCCTAGGGGGACAAGAAGGCCAACGGCATCTGGGCCTGGATCAGATGCGGTGCTGTCAGCAGGAGCAGGGAGGTGACCACTGCCTGTACTCGGCTTCGGTGAGGCCTCACCTTCAGTGCTGTGTCCAGTTTTGGGCCTCTCACTACAGGAGGGACACTGAGGTGCTGCAGAGGGTACAGAAGTGGGCTGCCGAGCTGGGAAAGGGTTTGGAGCCCGTGTCCTGTGAGGAGCAGCTGAGGGATCTGGGGCTGTTTAGCCTGGACAAGAGGCCTTATCCACTCTCTACAACTCCCTGACAGGAGGTTGTAGCGAGGCGGGGTTGGTCTGTTCTCCCTAGTGGTGAGTCACAGGACAAGGGGAAATGGCCTTAAGTTGTGCCAGGAGAGGTTTGGGTCAGATATTAGGAGGAATTTCTTTACTGAGAGGGTTGTCAGCCATCGGAACAGGCTGCCCAAGGAGGGGGTTGAGTCGCCATCCCTGCAGGTGTTTAAGAGACAGACAGATGTGCTGAGGGACATATTTTAGTGTGTTGATAGGCCTAGGAAAAGGTTGGACTCAATGTTCTTGAAGGCCTCTTCCAACGGAACCTGTTCCATAACTGCTGCCCATTGATTCTACGCGGTGCTAGGATACTAACCCAAACATACCGTGAGTCTGCCATTGCCCTGCCTGGCTGGCAGAGGGTGCCCGCTGCAGAGGCGCGCTGTGCACTGCGCTGGGGCTGAGCTGCGGTGCCGGCTGGGCCACGAGAAGCCCGCTTGCCCCTGCCAGTGCAGCAGCAGCCCCAGCTGGGCACTGCTGGTGTCTCTGGACACATGGGTGGCTGTTTTGGGACCCTCCGGCACAGTGACCGGGACCGAGACCGAGGCCGGGACCAGGACCGAGACCGGGGCCGAGAGCAGGACCGGGAACAGTCCCTGGGGCACACAGGTAAGCTGTCCATGGGGATGCCACGGCTCTGCTCTGCCCGAGTGGGGCTCAATACTCGAGGCTGCAAAGCCTGGCGAGGCCTCATGGGGCCGCTGGGGAGACCCCGGCGCTGGGCGCTGGCTGCCGTTGGCTGCCGTTGGCTGCCGGGGCTGCCCGCCTGCCTTTCCCGAGAAGGCCACTGGGGTTCCCTCTTGCTGGGCGCTTTCTGTGTCACTAGATTTGGGTTTGTGGGAGGACAAAGCAGGGCACTTTGGCCAAGAAGGGGAGAGAACAGCTCAGGGGGTTGGTTTATTCCCATGCCGTTGGCTTTTCGGGAGCTCCCTTGCTGCCACCACTGCCCTGCTGCCACTGCTGCCCAGGAGCACCCCAAACGTCCCAAGGCTTGCAGATCCCCTGGGGTGCTGCCAGCCCCCAAGGTGTAATTCGCATGCCAGCATGCCTGAAGGAGCTAACGGGGCTGTGCTAGCAGTCTGGAGGAGGGAGGTGGCTCAGGGCTGGTGCCTGTGGCCACATGTCCCCCCGGGAGAGTCAGTAGCAGGGTGAGGCCTCAGCCCCAACTGCCAGGAGCACAGCCCTGATTGCTGGGAGCTTCGCTCAGCTCCAGGCCAAAGCTGTTTTCTGCCCACTGTTACAAAATATTTCAGCACTGGGGAGGTAAATTAGTCACTGGCACAACTGGGAACAACTCCCCACCAGTGGTTTCAGTTGGTCTCAGGTGGGGAGCATCCTTCTGGGGATCTGAACGCTTCTCCCCATCACCTGTCTTCCTCAGGTGAAAAATGTGAGTCCCAGTGCCACCGCTCCCCCACGTTCCTGCACCGCTTGGGCCAACCAAAGAGCTCCAAAGCCCCACACCGGGTAAAATGGTGTCGGAAGAAGACCAAGGCAGCAGGTACCTGTCCCTGGGAAAGGGGGACTCAGCTCCTGCTCACTGGGACCTGGCTGAACAAACGGAGCCCGGCGGGGTCTGCCAGGATGCAGGGAGGAGAGGAAGGGAGGGAGGAGTGAAGCAACCAGCAGGCAACTCCTGCCCAGGCGGGAGCCAGCTCAGGCCTAGCTCTGCCTGTGGCTTGTTTCGCTTCCCCATCTCCACTTCGCCCATGTGCGGAAGCGGACTGAGTTGCTGGAGGAAGTCCTTTATGAAGTGTGTTCAAATCAGCTGTTCAGAAATGTAGAGCTTTTTCTTTCAAAGAAATGCTCATTCATTACATGTCCAGCCTTGGGCCATTCTTTTCTACTGCTAACTATAAATAAGAATTTTAATTCTTCATGCAAATAACAGTTTGTTTGACTGACTAGCGAAGCTGGCTCATTAAAAAAACTGTATAGTTGTGGTCACAGAAGTGACTTGCAAAAACCAGTGCACATTTCATCTCCACATCTCTGGGTACATATTTGTCTACCAAGTCCAACCTGATTACTGACAAAAATTGTTTTTTGATCTTGTTATCCCTCCACAGCCAATACAGCTGTGGAAGAGCAAGATGGATTTTTATGCGTCTCAGCCTTCATTAACATAATTACCAGCTAAAGTTTACGTTCAACTGACAATGTATGAGAATGCAGCTTGGGTTTCAGATACCAACCAGAGCAGAGAGGGGAGCAAATCTCATTTTGACTATCAAATGGATAAGCAAAGAGTTTTGTAAGCTCACCTGCACTGGAGAAGTGCTCTCGCTCTAAGGTCTCCTCTCCAAAACATCTCTGTCCTGGGATCACCTTTCTATCTGAGCTGCTCAGTGAGGGTCTGTCCCAAGAGCACGGAGGGAACGTCCCCTCACTTTGAAGCCACTCCAGAACCAGAAAGAAGCCAGTCATCAAGGGCATCATGTACTTAGGACACATCCATTCCACGGACCTTGCCTTCAGCCTTTAGGGTGATACCAGATGCACACAATTCCCAGCCAGATCTGCAGTGCAGCCCATGGGCTTTGCTTTCAGGTGGCATAGTTAGGCAGAATGTCCTAGACCTCTGCCACAAAATTTGACAGCAGCTCTTCCATGTGTTTTCTCCTTTCAAGGTAAGGCTGGGACATCAGAGCCAAGCAGCCTCACTACTGAGGCAAAAGAAGTATCTCCAGGCCCCAGTACTGAGGCAAAAGAAGTATCTCCAGGCCCCAGTACTGAGGCAAAAGAAGAATTTCCAGGCCCCACTACTGAGGCAAAAGGAGTATCTCCAGGCCCCAGTACTGAGGCAAAAGAAGAATCTCCAGGCCCCAGTACTGAGGCAAAAGAAGTATCTCCAGGCCCCAGTACTGAGGCAAAAGAAGAATCTCCAGGCCCCAGTACTGAGGCAAAAGGAGTATCTCCAGGCCCCAGTACTGAGGCAAAAGAAGTATCTCCAGGCCCTGCTACTGAGGCAAAAGAAGTATCTCCAGGCCCCACTACTGAGGCAAAAGAAGAATCTCCAGGCCCTGCTACTGAGGCAAAAGAAGTAGCTCCAGACACCTCCTCGGCGCTGCTGGCTACTCGAGAGGACCTTCCACCAGGTAAGATTATGCCTTTGGTGTCACCTAGATTTCCAGAGGTTGAATGTAGCAAGGCCTGACACTGCAGCTAACTGACCCCCTGTCATCCCTTGAGTTTCTCATCTTTGTTGCTGCAAGGAGATGATGGGTTGTCTGAGCATGGAGGGGGCTGGAGGCACTGGTGGGGCTGGCTGCAGGGGAGCGGTGTGAAAGAGGCAGCTCTGTCTGGCATGGACCTCCTTCTTCCCCTTAACCCTACCTATTTCCTTTTCAAGAGATTTCACTCTCCTTCTACATTGAGAGCTGTTCTTCCCAGTGCCTCAATTCCCAGCTCCAGGAAGCAGCCAGAACGAAGCTGTGGGCTCTGGAGAATGACGAGAGAGATGCCTGTGCTCTCTTCAAGGTAGGATCTCCAACCCCATCAGGCAGAGCATATACTGGGAGGCTTCTAGTGCGATGGGATGTATGGTGGGAAACCAAATGCCGCTGAGAAAGAGAAATTCCTCCAAGGCTGCTGCAGAGTGTGTTCCTGCACACAGAGACTCTCTAGGGCACTGGAATGATGAACTGGTAACACGTGAGAGGCAGATGCAAAGCTGAGCCTCATGTCAGGAGCCTCATATTGGAGGCTCTGAGCTGCCTGAGGGATCATGCAGATAGCCCTGGGCTGAGTCTAAAGAGCTGGGGATGCAGAGCTGGAATCACCAAAGCTGCGTGCCAGACTCAGGCCCAAGGTGAAGGGAGCCTCTGAAGACTTCATACAGAAAAATCCCTATGGATATAGAGATGTGTTGCCTGATCTAGTCGAGAGGTGGCGTCCCTGCCCATGACAGGGAGTTTGGATTAAATGATCTCTAAGGTCCCTTCCAGCCTAGGCCATTCTATGGTTCTATGATTCTGTGATGTTTACTGGTCTGAACTCTTCTTCCCTGCTGATTTTTAAGGCCCTAGCCCCTCAGGGCTCCCTGCAGAGCTTCTCTGAGGATCTGGAACACTGTAAACATACTAGTGCCAGCAATAGTGAGAGTCTCCTTCTCTGGAGACTTTCAAAGCCCACCCGCATGCGTTCCTGTGTGACCTGGCCTAGATGACCCTGCTTTGGAAGGCAGGTTGGACTAGATGATCTCCAGAGGTCCCTTCCAACCCCTAACGTTCTATGATTCCATGAATCTCCTTTGAGGTGCAGTTACTGCCTTCAGCCTCAGAGCTGCAGTTTGGAAGCTATGCCTGTCTTGACTGAACATTAAGCCACGCTGTGGGTGATGGGGGCAGTAGCACCCTGTGAGCTGTGAAGGAAAAACTGATAGGAGAAGAAGCACCCCACGAAAAGCAGTCTCTCAGGATTGTTAGGTGGCAGTTAGTCAGAGGCCTATGGTACACAAGATATAGGGAGTAGTTTAGCACAAGTTGTAAAAGAACATAAACCAAAAATAATTGACAAGAACACCAGTGATAAGGGTATCTAACAAGGACCATCTGGTGACGAAGCCCCTTGTGGAGTTCGAGGACAAGATACCTTACGAAATGTGCTGAGAACAACTAGTTTTGGGACTAAGGTAAAAAGTTCATTGTGAGGAAGACATACGGCCTTCATCCCTGAAGACCCCTGCCCACGACCACCAGGAGACACTGCGCAAGTGTCAAGGGGAGGAGCAGCCAACCACCGGAACTGAGTGCCTTTTCCGGGATAGCTCATGAATATGTATAGGCATCTCATGAATATGTAACTTTCACGGCATATAACCAAGGTAAGTGCATCGTTCAGGTGTGCACGTCTTTGGAGGAGAGATCCCCCGTGCACCAGCGCGCTTATTAAAACAGACCTACTTTATAACTTCTCGAGTTATAGAGTCTTTTCCGCGTGTCAGTGGGTATGACTCGCGTGTCTGAGTTTCAAAGGCAAAGTGGTTCTGGTGTGTGCCACAGGGAAAAAGATTTGGAGAAGGGGATGAAGCTTCTTCACTCTTTCACTGCACCATGGGTACGTACAAATACTCCATCCCTCCTGGCTGAAGGACTCGGCTGGCTGCTTGCACCCTCCCCTTAATCCCAGGCAACCAACTTGCATAGCTTTGGTCTTGACTGTGCTAATAAATGAGTGCCCAATCTTATTCTAGTGTCTAATACTATTCCCATACTGGCAACAGAGACCCTCTGTCAGAGTCTCAGGATTGTCCCTTAATCTTGATTTGTCTTCGGTGTGTAGGAGCTGTCAGCCACCTTGGTCTGTGTGCAAGCACAGAAGGATCAGTTCCTCCTCACTTTCAACACCTTAGAAGAAGTCTGGAAGTTTTACACATACCTGACATTAGGTAATGTTTTCAAGGTGTGGGCGTTCTAAACAGGCAGTGTGAGAAGCATTTTTGGAGACGGTATTCTTTGACACCAAAAAAAGCATAATGTAACAGGGTGGCCAGATGAAGAATAAGAGGACCTTGATGTCCATCTACTCTATAGATGTATGAAACACTGTCTGGATCAGTGAACAAGGAGGATGCCTTTTGGGTGATCCCTCTATTGCATTTTGGGGATGCAAACAGAGTTAGAGGCTGTTGCCTCACAGCACGGTGGCAGATGGCAGACAGGGAGACATCCAAAGAGCACTTCATTCTGCCCGGTAAAGGAGGATGCTAACACTGCTTTCCCTCTCGGTTTCTTAGGATACGTGGGCAACTGTCTGGAGCAGCTTCTCTTTGACCAGGTGTACTGGCTAAATTGTGCCCTGGTGGAGGACACAAAGATCAGAGTTACTGTGGATGAAGCTCGCTTGGCCGGCATATATATGGATCTGCTACTCCAGGAAGGTGGGAAGGGGCTGCGTATGTAGGGACTGCCTCAAAAGTGCCTCAGCAGGGCTGTGCTGTAGCCCTGTGCTGAGCTATGTGTTGCACTGATGCCACTGACCTGGGCGTGACTCCTTCTACTTGCAGGTAACTTTTTTTCCAGAGCAGTGCCTGGTCTCTGGCAGCCTGAGCAGGAAAGAGAGGGAGACCTGCAGCTCTGCGAGAATGACCTGATCCATGTAAAGAACATTGGAAAGAAGTCCGAGTGGGAAGGGATGTCCTTACTGACGGGTCACCAAGGTCTGGTGCCTCTGACAGCTGTAGAGCTAACACTTCACCCATTTCACCAGTAAGTAGACTGGCCGATTAATGGGGTTCAAGCCAAGATTCCTTCCTGATCCTGATGCATGAGCTGGCATGGGGTGAGAAACTGCTCTTACTTCTGGCAACGAGCAAGATCTACGCAATTTTGTGAGGGTATACATTACGTGTAAGGACAATTACTGGGACCAATTCACATGTTGTTAATAGGACAGTGCAAGGACACGCTTCAGATATTCTTGTATGATACTGATTTAGGTCATACCTGAGATTATTTGTGATTTACAGGGGAATAACTGAGAGAAAAAGCATATCCCAAGACCTAGGTAATGCCAGTCAAATGAAACCTCCCACTGGACACCTGGCTGTGCCCCAGAGACACCCTCTTGTATGCCCACAGTGAAACCCTCCTTACAGTCTGCCACATTTATCCTGCTCTTACCATGTGGGGTGAGGCTGCAGTTGTGAGGTGGAAACTACCCTCTGTGCCCAGTAACACCATTATAAGGAATTTCTGGACTGGCTGTGGTGGCCATGCTCTGTAGCAGCTCTGGCACTCCCAGGGGACAGAACATCTGTCCTGCCTATCCCCAGTGCCAGCCTGAGGACAGGACTGCTCAGAGAGGTTCCCCTTTGCCTTGCAGGTGGTTCCTGAAGAATTATGCTGTGGGATTTGGCATTTCCCAGGAGATCAGTGGGATGACCTCTCAGCCAATTGGTGAGTGATACCTGTGTGATGCAGCTGCCCTCCCCAGGGAAGGACACGGCTCTTGTGAACCTGGGCTTGGCCACAAATGCAAAGGGCCCATCTCTTGTTCTAACAATGACTCTCCATTGCAAGGTGCTCTAAGGGAATACTGCCTCTTTGGGCTTTCCTGAACGGAGAACACGGCTTGTGAACTGCACGTACTTTGTAGGATGATCTGAGGCTGCTGGTGGCATCCTTCTGCCACTGTTTTTTTCTATTCTACTGCAATTTTACCTCTCCTTGAATTCTTTCAGGACTGAAGTTTTAAATAATTTAAATAGTTAGGGTCCCCACCAGTGTGCACATGAAACCTCTGCCCAGTCATTAGCCCCAGGCCATCCTTGTCCAGACATGGGCATCGTTCAGACCATGCTGGTCTTGGGAAGTCACTGCAGATGTGAATTTGGCATGTAGTGTGATGGACATCTGCATTGTTAGAGACTTCACTGCTGGCAGAGAATTGAGACAGTGCAGATTCTGTGAAGCTCCATGTTTCCGGCCACCTTCCATACTGCAGTTCTCAGAGGTTTCAGTTTTTCACTGTGTGATGTTTACTCATGTCTCTTGTATATTTTATTATAATCCTCTTTTCAAGAAGAAACTGCAGAGATCTTAGTCCGAGAGCAAACCAAATCTGAGGGGACAGAGAGTCCGCCTTCTCAAGCTGAAATCATGGTCTCTTCTTCCCCAAGTCTTTTCCAGCGAGGAAGTTTTAACTGTGGCCTCACACTGAAATGCCCTTGTTTGCCTTGGTTTTCCAGTCAAAGGCAGATGCACCGCCACAGTGGACCACAGAGGAGCGGCATCTGATGAACTGAGTTTCTCCAAAGGAGATGGCATAGAAGTCGTTGGTTTCTTCATTCCAGGACTCCCATGGTTTGTGGGCAAATCCCTCAGCAGTGGGAGCATCGGCTTTGTCCCAACACGATACATAAGGATCGAGGCTTGCAAACCTCTGTAAGTTTACTGCTTCTGTCTAGATAAGTTAAATCACGAGAATGAAGGGAAGACTTCAAGTCCCAACTCAAGGCCATGTGAGAGTTCAGGGAAGGTGATGTGCTTTGCAAGGCCTTCATAGAGGATCCATTTGAGATCTCTCCAGAAGCTTTGGCCAGGCTTTGCTGCCAATAGGCTGCAGGAGTCTCTGCCCGCACAAAGTAATCATTTTTCACTCGCCTCAGGTGATTATAGGAGAGGAACATATCAGGCCCTGGGCTAAACATGGCTCAGAAAGGGCTTCTGGAGACAAAAAAGACCAACAGGTCCCTCCTTCTGGTACTCTTTGGTTCCTCCATGGAGAATCTGGATCTGAGAGCCCTGATGAGGAAGGTGTCCAGACTCCTGTATCCATCTGCAGTTTTCTGATGGAAGGAAGAGGAAGGATGGGAAAGCCCATCTCATTCCACAGAACAGCTGCAGTGTCAGGGGATGGGGAGACACTGATATTTTTCCCTTGATGTCTATCTCAACCCAGGAGAAATGTGTTTCTGAGTGAAGAAGAAAAATTCTCTCTCCTACACATCCCCTGCAATGATGACAAACAGCACTTCATCACCCTCCTCAGTGACCTGGCATGCACTGACATCACCTCTGTGTACTGGCTGGGTGAGTTTCCCCTTTCCTTACATCTGTAAGGTGTGAACAGTTTATCTGCACATTAACACTGACCAAAGCTTTGGGCTTTTTTTTATCTGTTTGTCTCTTCTTGTAGATGGCTCTGAACCTACGGCCATATTCCCAAAAGTGCCATCAGGTATGTGGAGGGGACAAAATGGGATGCTTTTATGGTGACTTCTAAGAGTGAATTTTGACGTGGTTTTCTTGTCCCTTCCAGAAGCTGTTCCCTGCGGCTGTAAAGATATCCAGCAGTTCCAGTCTTTGGAAGAAATAAATGACTTTGCTACGACTAGCACCTCCAAGCTGTCTACCCCAGGGAGTGAATCAACCCCTGCTACATTGGAAGAGACTATTCTGAAGAAGGGGGATGATTTGGATCATCCCAAGTTCTTTATTGACCTCAATGCTGGATACATGGGAGATGCTGATGCCTTTGAACCCATATTGACCTTTCTTAACCAAGACGGTTACGTGTCTGCTTTTCAAAGCCTCTATGATCTCGGTTTTTCCTTTTTCACCTCCACTTTTCGTGGCTTCTCTGATGAAGATGAACTGGTCTTGTACCTCGAGACATCCAGGAAGTGGGCCATGAGGAATCATTTGGTTTGGGCTCATGCTAGGCTCTGCTTTCTCTTGGGTAAGCTCTATATCAAAAAGGTCAAGTTCTCCAAGGCTCAAGTCTACTTTGAGGAAGCCATGGCCATCCTGGACAGGAGTTTTAGGGACCTGCGCCTGTTGGTTGCACTGCATGTGAACCTTGCCTCCACGTACTTGAAACGGAACATGAAGTACGAGTTCTCCTTCCTGCTGGGAAAAATGGTGGCCTTGCTTGTCTGCTTGCCTGGCCACCCTTTCAGCTCTGAAAATGAGGTGGAAGCCATGATGTACGTCCTGAGGGAAGCCATTGCTGTGGGTAATGCTCTCTTGGAAGCACGGGTCTGCTTCCTTATTGTCAAGCTCTTCCTCCAACTCGGCAAAAACGATAAAGTGCTGCCCTTTGCCGAGCATCTTCAATGGCTCACCACCGCTTTACTTAGCCGAGACGCTAGTTCTGTGCCATTGGATGCCAGACCCATCTTGAGCTATCTGTACAACAAGAAGGATTTGCCAAATATTGCACTGGCCTCTGCCAGATTGTTTGTTCCCAGGAGCACCAAGGAGGCACCAACACTAATTTGGAGAGCCGGCTTAATCCTCCAGAATGCTTCCAAACTCCTGGGAAGCCAGCTGGAGAGGAACAGCATCCCAGCTCTGGCTTGTTTCTATCTCATTCAAGCACTGCATTTCTCCTGCGAGAGCACAGTTGTGCGCATCCAGAGGACACTGTATGCCATCTTGTCCAAGATGTACCTCCAGCATGGTTTGTTGGACATGGCGCTTTGTTGTGCGGACAGGGCCGTAACCCTCAGCAGACTGATGGGCGAAGAACAAGTTTTTGAGTCTTCCATCTTTTTAGGATGGGTGTATCTCCTGCACAGCCAGCCAGGCCCAGCTGCAGACATCCTGTGGCAGCTCTCGCTCTCTCTGCTCGGGAAGGACAGCGCGACTCAGAGCGGAGCTGTGCACAATCTCCTGGCCATTGCCCTCAAAGGAGTAGGGCAGGTGCAAAAGGCTGCAGAGAACTACCTCCGAGCCCTGCACAAAGCCGAGGAGACAGGGAACAAGAGGAACCAGGCTATCGCCCTGGCTAACCTGGAACAGCTGAACCTCTCACACGGAGCAAACCATCTGTCTGAGCTCTACCTGCTCCAGTCGACTCAGCTCTGCGCTGAGCTTCAGGGCAGCAAATACCCAGAGATGGAGCTGGCGTAGGTGCTGGTGCGGCTAGCGCAGGCCGTGGTGAACAGGCAGAGGACGGAAGACGGCAAACTCTGTTATGAACTGGCGTTGGCTTTTTCCCTGAAGTGGCAAAACCTGTGGAGAGAGTAGAGCCTTGCTAGCGGGAACCAGGGCAGCGCCAACCTCTGTGCAGCACCCTGTCAGGTGCCTTAAGGCAGTCCCCTGACCTGTCCTTTTCCCTTCCGTGTACTGTGGGATATTTAGAGAACAGCAGACA